AAAAAAATTCGATTCGTTTTTACTCGAGCCAGTTCGACTCTACTCGTTTACGTCCCTATAATAATACAATGTTAAGTATTGGCAAAATCTTAAACAATTTGGTCAAAAATCCACACTTCGAAACTTACTTTAAAAAGCTCGTGTGTAACTTTACTATACAAATTTTCCTTAGAATCCACATATTGTACATGTTGTACTACAATAATTACATTAGTCTATTCAAACAATAATGTCTTGCAAAAAAAGAAGAATAAAGATGGGTGATGGGTGCTTATCCATTGATTTATTGTTTCAACTTTAGACTGCAAACCACAGCTTTCAACTTTTCCCCACCTCTATCTAAAATTCCATTTTTAACCTGCTAAAAGAAATTAATACGTGCTCAAGCCCATAGATGTTGAATTTTGAGTTATTTTGAATAGAATTATAAAATAACTTTGCAATAAATGTAATAAAGAAACTGAGATTTTAAGTATCAAATCAGCTATGAATTGTTGTAGCTTTGTTTTCTGTGGGAGGGGTTGTTGAATTATGGCACTAACGGTCACTTGTGTCATATTTTTCATGTTAGATAAACAAAATAAAATTGGATTAGGTCCATGTGTAAATTTATCAATGGCCCAATGGTGAAAATAGATTATCCACCATTTAAAAGTTTAAGAAAAATGTTATTCATTCCCGATGGGAATAACGTCACATAGATTGGGATGCATCCTCAGTGGGGATGAATAGCATTTCTCAAAATTTAATGTAGTAACCTTAAATTTTGCATAATCCACTATTTATTGTCCACTTAATTGATTGTTGATTTAATGGCTCCTCCACCCTTAACAGTGGAGGGGTTAGAATTGTCTCGCTCTTACCGGTGACAAATACAGTATAACTGCTATAAATTAATAGTTTTGGGACCATATGAATTTTGTTGATTAAATGACCGGGATGTTTTTTGAGGAATATGTTTAGTGGCTCGACAAAAAATGTATGGGAGAAAAATTCTCTTGATGATAGATAATTATTCAACCCATCCAAAATATATTGAAGGATTACAAAATGTTGAGGTTTTTTTTATTTTTTTTGTCATGCAATATGACATAAAAAAAATCCAACAATGTGATTTTGGGATAATAAGAACCTTCAAGATGGGACAACTCAATCCAGAAAAAAATATATATAAATATTTTTGATACAATCAACCTTGCAGTCTAAAATTGGGCAATAAATGTTGTTCAAACATATTATTTTTCGATATTGTGAAAGAATTAGCTCAAACAACTTAAATGAATCTTTAGATGAAGAAGACGTTCATGAACTTGAGATAGTAATTAAATATTTAGGTTCTCATGATAGAATAGATGTAAATTATCTTTCAAATTATCATGATGAAAATGATTCAAGTTCAAAGGTTTCATGTTTAGAAGAAACCGTTGCGAATATCATTGAAAATATGCTGAAGACGAAGCTGACGATCATACAATAGCTTTAGAGCTTATTACGTGCAAGGAAGCACTCAATGCATCAATAACACTTCATAATTATTATATTTCAATTCGAGAATTCAACCCCCATAACATCTAGAGATGCAATAAGAAAAGTTATGAGATCCCACTAGATTTAAATTTCAAGAAAAAAAAGTAACAATATAGACATATTTTAATAAAATACCATAGTCAATTATATTTGCACGTGTTTGACCTGAGTATACATATAAAAACAGCACATTAGATACATGAATAGCGACAAATTCGTTGAAAGTTTGAAAATAAAATTTTACTAACTTTTAATTTGAGCACAAGTTGTCGCACAAAGAGATTTGAGAAGCTATGTCGTACAATATTATGTTTGGATTTCTTGTCTATTTTATTTCTATAATCGATTTTAATTTATAAAATATAGGAAAAATTGCAACAGTGGTCCCTAACCTTTCCAATATTTATAGACTTTATCCTAACCTTCATTTTGTGCTAGCGAATATACCTAATCTTTCATAAATATGCAGTTGGAGTCCAAATGATATAATTTGGCCATTAGTTGACCAAAACGGCCAAATTTAATTAGTTTGGCCGTTAGTTGACCACCTCTCAACATCGGCAAGAAAATCCCACAACCCAAATTGAGAAGTAGGTTTTGAAATAGGGATCAAATCTTTATCTAAACCCAAATCTTAATCCTCAAATATGATACTAGTTGTGGTACAATTCGATAAGACCTTTTTGGCACAATACGAGTTGAGTTTCTGTAGAGTTCAAGAATCGAGTTTGACTCGTATGGAGAGGTAATGGAGAAATTGTTGTCTGGAGAAGCGTTAGTCCAGGTGGTCATTTCTTGATCTGGGTCCTTGTTACTTGGAATAGATGCTCTGTGTACCAACTGAATCAATTGCATGTCTACATTCCTCTTGCGTTAACTAATGGTTGGTGGCAGTGGTTATCTGCGGCTGCTGAAGATGTTCCAAATGAAAATTTAGTGCGGCGACGTGTTAGTAGAGATGAATTTGATTTTTGATTTTTGATTTCAGGTTGATGGTGGTGCGCGTGGGTAGTTATTTTTCTTGGAATGATTTTTGAGTGTGAGGGAGAGTTTTCTTGGTTTGATTTTCGAATGTGCAGTGGGCTGGAAGATGACGATGGTGAGTGGGTGGTGGTGAGTGGGAATTGTGGTGACAGTTTCTGGTAAGGTCTTGCCGGAAAAGAAGGATTGCTAAATTGTTTTCATTTGGGGTGGGTGGGTTTATATATATATATATATTTTTTATTTTATTTTATTTTTTTGGATTTTTTAATTTAGTTATTAACTTATTTAACATGGGAAATAGCAGAAGTACCTTTTTGCCTTTTTAAATTTGATTAAAATTAATCAAAATTTGACTTTCTTGGTCAATTAACCGTCAAATGGATGTTTTCCATCCATTTAGACTCCAGTTGTATATTTATAAAAGGTTAGGGATTTTTGCTGACACAAAATGAAAATTAAGATAACGTTTACAAAAATTAAAAGTTTTGAGAACGTTGCTGCAATTTTTCCTAAAATATATGTCCTATGATTTAAAACGTGTGAAATATAATTGAGATATATTGCAAGTACTAAAATTTAATGGAAGATAGGTTTATTATGTGGTTTTTCTCGACACCCTTCAAATCATCTTGTGTATACAAAATTATTATTATTTTTTTTACTATATTAGAATTATTTTAAATATTATTAAGATAAGCTAGTTAAGAACACACGTGTTTTGTGCATTGTACATGTTTTTATAGTAAATTTGCGATATTTTTGTGGGGAATTGTTCACATATATATACCATACAAGAAGCACCTTTTTTTTTTGTATTGGACAAATGAAAATTCGCCAATTGTCAATCTGTAAAACATACGTGAACCCCATCATGTACACATAGCAAAGCTTAATTTTGTGACCACGTAATGTAATATTCTCCTCAATTAGCTTAACTTAATGCAAGAAGATAGTATAAAAATACCTAAAAACATGTTTTAAAGTAAAAAAAATATGCCAAATATAAAAAATATCACCATGATTGGATTGTTACTATTCATTCTAGAGAGAGCACAAGCAATATTATCAGTAGATTTTGCTCTGTCCCTCCTTTTCTTGAAATAAGAAACAAGCAATTCCTTTAATTAATATCAGCAAGACAGATATATTTGCATGTTGAGATTCAAACCAGAAAAAGGAAAATAAATAAAATATATGCAAATTTAATATTTTGAAATTACTGAATTTTTAAAATGACACTAATCTTATTTTTAAAATCGACCCTCTAAGCTTATTTTTTTTAATCGATTGTGCTACATGTACATCATAATTTACAATTTTATTTACTAGCAGAAGACATGATGAGATTTAACTGAATCAAAATCACACCAACCAGATAAAAAATAAAATTTTCACTTTTTTTTTTTTTTGCCGTTAACCCACAATACATAAGCATAACCGTGTAAGTGACAAAGAAATTTTGACAGTTTTAATTCAATTTATTGTCATTTTGTCAATTTGTAAAAAAAATCTATAAATGATGATGTACAATAAACATTCGATAAAAAAAAAAATGAAATTATTTCTAAAATGAGAAAATGACTAGAAGGAATTATTATAGGGCCGTGTTCGGTAGAGATTAAAATTGGATTAAAATTGAAAAATTAGTCGTTATTGTTGACTTTTATTAGATGAGTGGGACCCAATAACAACCATATTTTCAATTAAAATTGGATTTTAATCTCGTGCAAACATGCTCTAGATGTTGTGGCCCTCTCGATCTAGCACGGTTTGACACCTACGATCATACCGATTACACGTACAACCATACCACCCTCTTTGGGAGTGTTTGTTTTTTATTCTCAAATTTTACAGTAAATCAATTCTCATTTTCAACCACACATTTTTTAATAAAATAATATTTTACATCACATCAATAATTTTTTCTTATGTTTCAATAACACATTTCCCATCATATCACTTTTCAAAAATCAATTCTTCTCTCAAAAATTCCTACCAAACAAGCTCTTAAAGTCACTGTCCAATGGAGTGTCGCCACGTCTTACAAACTCGTGTCCCCACCGTGAGATCTTGCACCTCTACGAGTATCCAATAAGTCGTTTGACACGTGCTCTAGAAAACCGGCTGCATCCGGTT